TTTTTTTTTTTTTTTTTTTTTTTTTTTTTTTTGAACGGCAACGATACGTAGGAACGTAAACGTCTTTTGAATCGCGCACCATCTTCGCTGTCCTTCCAACTTTCAAGCCTCCCTCTACTATTAATTTTGGAAATAAGATAAAAACATTTCTCAATTTTCTTTTCGTTTCAGCCGATAAATAAACTATCGCACTATTTGATAAAGACAAAAGTTTCTAGTTTTTTCTTACACTTTTTCCACTTTGCATTGCAAAAAGCTGAAATAAACGAAGAAGAAACTTCTTTTTTTCTAGAACAATCGGCAACGTCAAGGGTCTGAAGCATCTTTGATGCACCATCCATGCGGAAACAATAAAAAACGGCTTAACTCAACAAACTAAAACACATGATCTGGTTAGACAATTAAAGTCAAGATAAACTGAAAAGTAAGATGGAACTCGAGAAGAGAAACTGGCCAAGTATGAAAGAGCCTTTCAAAAGAAAAGCTGAGTGAAAAAAAACCTATAAATTACAGGATAACAAATACCCACGATTTTATGGAATAAAGCTACAAATGTACACTTGCAGCGAATTTGCAGTTGAGTGATCATCGGATATTTAGGGTATTTTATACCAGCAGTAGAAATGCGAAAAAGTTTTAGACTGCATCGAATACTTTTAGAAGCTTTTACTAAGCAGCAAGCATTGAGAAATATTGTCTATTTAAAAGCTTTAAGTGATAAGCAGATATTTTGTAACATAAACATATTTTTGCCGTTCTTTAAACCCCAAGTTACAAAGGAAATGAACAAATAATTCTGATATTTATAATAATCTTCAGTGAACCTGAAGCAGTCAAATGAAAACTTACACATACAATTTGATTTTATGAATGACTCATCAAATACAGAAGGTACAGAAGAGATAATGTAACAGAAAACAACTGACAATGATGGTAATAAAAGTTTTTATTTTATCAAGCGAATTGTGTTGTTGGCATTTGGCAGAAAACTATTCAAAATCTCGATGATTTCTTCGACGATTATTTAACTGTAGAATTGACACTAATTGACAAAAAAATTGTGAAAGAATTAACAGAAGATATCCATAAATGAGAAAAAAAAAGATCAGCAGAAGCCAGTTGCAGTAAATGTACTTCATCGTTGAATATAGCAAGTAACTGCCCAACACTTGTTCCCATCATTTCACTCAAAATAACTGTATCCGCGCCTTCGAGTTTTTTTTAACAAAAACTCCAAAAAAAGGGGTTCACTGGTAATTGTTTTAGCTGACATCTCCGCCCTACCAGTATCCTGCTGTAAATATAAAAAAAATACTTTTTTTTTCTTTGATGACACAAAAGAGGGAAAAAAATGAGACAAAAATTAGTTCTCAAATATGTCAGTTTATATAACATAAAAGTAATTGTATGCTACAAAATAAAAGAATGAAGAAATAATGAAGAGTAGCGATCAAAGTGGAATAAAAGGCCGTTCCTTTCAAAGAAATATTTGTTAACAATGAAAAAATATCAAAAAGTTTTCAGCTAAAGCTGAAAAAATAAACAAAAGTGTTTTTCTAAATCATTGACCAAAAACGTCATTTACAACTACCGAAAGCTGCTTCCAGAAAAGTAAAAAAAAAAAAAAAATAGATTAAGACGGTTAAATGAATGACTCTTTTTTTTGATACATTATTTTTGTCATTTTTGATGATAAAGATTTTGAAAAAGAAATAAACTTGTTAGTATATTAAATAACTTCTTAGTTATGTGCCTTATGCTTAATAAAATCGTTTACAATAAGCAAAACCATCACCATTAATACCGACAGTAATACCAGTGAACGAAGTACAATTTTTTTTCATACATTTAAAATTATGGTGATGTACGGTCTCATCCATCTCTCCTCTCCCGCAAAAACTAACAGTGTGGCGAGCTAAAACAAGTTAAAATCAAAAAATGTTTAGGCGGAAAGTAGTAAACCACAGGTTATTTTTGAAACGAAATAATTTGTTGCATTTTTTTTTTTCGTTTTTTCGCCTAGACAGATATAATTCATCACTTTCCGCGTTAAAAGATGCAACATACTGAAAAATTTTCAACAAATTTTAGACTAATTTTGACACTCAGAAGCAATAGAAGAAGAAGTGTACACTTGTTTTACAAATGTAATTTAATACTGAGAACTGTTGTCAATTGATATGCTTCTTTGCTTGATGATTACCAATAATTTTTTTTTTTTTGTAGATATGTCTGTTTTATTTCCAAACCGTCTACAGTTTTTTTTTTTAAAATTTATGAAAAATAAATTTTGATTAGAAAGACGTTGTGTTGCCTTTAAAAGGTGTCATTTCCCTGGATAGTGCCCTATCAGACAAGAGAAGAAGAAAGTTGTTCTCAGCAACTGTAGTGACAGAATTTTAATGTCAAACGTTTTCGCTGAAATTGTTTAGTATTTGTCTTGTTACCCGCTTAACAAATAATAAAATAAACTAATTTTTTTCCATTAAGTACAATACAGTATAATATTACGTTATATTTATGTTATAATAATAATAATAATAATAATAATAATAATAAT